ATCTGATCAGATTGGCTTCGGGAAGCGTGCTTCTTTGATATTCCTCTTTGACGATGCTAACTCTACTAAGCTAATGTTGAAGTTGTAATCTAATAACCTGGGATATGTGGAGTCCCGGGCCCCTGGTACCTCCTTCTTCTGTAACGACCAGCTGCTCCGGCCATGATCAATTCTTCTAACGGGAGCAAACTAATTTGATGACCAAAATACTTAGCTGTTACGACCTTCGGTTCTTTCATACAGCAGAAAAGACCTTTCGAGGATCGCCGATCTGTATCAAAGTCCCTTTTAAAATTGTCCTTGTTCTTGTCTCGATCCCGTCCCTTGGTTGATACCGGGAACCCGAGCTGATCGTCTTGTATCCTTATTTTTGACTCATAACGGCTATGGACATCCGCCCATGTGGTTGCTTGAAACTCAAGAAGGCTTTCCTTCAGCTTTCGGGAAGCGTCGGAGCTCCGTGAATTTTGACACTTTGTGAATGCCTCCGCTGCCCACTCATCTAGTACAGCCGGTAATAGCATCCTCTCTTTTTGGAACCGGATCATGAATTCTCGCAGTAGTTTGGACTCGCCCTGCGCCATCTAGAATATGCCCGCCTTTCTGGCTTAAACCTTCCTTGCTTCGGCATGGGCCTTAATGAACGAGTCTACAAGCATTTAAATGAGTCAATTGAATGCTCGGGTAAGAGAGAATACCATGCCAGGGCCCCTTTGTGAGGGTTCACCAAACTTCTTTAGCAAGACCGACTCAATCTCTTGTTGAGCCAAATTGTTACCTTTCACAGCCATGGTGTAGGTTGTTATGTGCACCTGCAGATCCGAAGTCCCATCGTATTTTTGTATATCCGGCATCTTGAACCTCTTAGGAATTAACTCCAGTGATGTGCTCGGTTTAAACGGCAATTACGTGTATTTTTTTGAATCTGGGCCTTTTAGTACTTGTGATGCACGCAGAATCTAATTCATCGAGTGTGAAATTCCTTCGCATTTGATCCATTCATTCATTCATTTTCCTCATAAACCTCATGAGCTCGGTTTTGAAGGGATCATTCCCATTGTTATTCCCAGATCCGCTACCAGCCCCTCCGGCTTCATCGAAACCGACTTCAACCCTTGGGGTGTTGTTATCGACCCTCTGAACCATTTGGTTTGCAAGAACACCGGGAGAAATCGGGCCCCTTCCGTCCGCGTTATTAGAGGAGCATGACAACGCTTGTTTTAACTCCGTCATCACCTGATCCTAGCTTGAGAGGTGTTTCATGATTGCTTTATGCTGTTCTCTCAGGATTTTAACCATTTCTGCGACATGTTCCTCCTCCGCATCATCGGGGGTCGGTTCCTGCACATGCCGAGGATATTGGCCATCTCGAACCGGGATCGTCTCATCCCCTTCGTTGCGAGTCCCAGTGATATGTTGGGATTATTCTTCGTGCCCCTCAACGTTGTGCGTGATGTTGATATCACTAGTTGCCATATTCTTTTCACTGAGGAAAGAATCAAAACAAGATAGTAATAAACGTAAGGATCAAAGCAATTATACAACTGTCTAAGACCCACGGTGGGCGCCGAACAGTTTACCCACAAAATAATACAATTAAAATTTATTGCGTGATTATAGACAAGCAAATCGATTTGATCCAAAAGTGATAAGGAAATAAGACTAAAATGAGATTAGCAATTCAAATCGAAGAAGATGACAAGCCTGGCTCCGAACGCAATGCCTCCGAGGACAAAAGTGATAGTGACGATAAAGTGCAAATAAAGTTGTTAAATTAAGAGCAACAGTGGGTAAATAAAGCTTTTGTATGCCGAAAAGTTTCATGTCCTTACAATGGCTGCTGAGCCCGCTATTTATAGCTTTACCTAGGGAAGCAAGATCCTAGAATCAAGCTCCTCCTGAATGATAGTAAAAGAGTCACTGATGAACGCGTAACGATAGGCCATGGATGCAAATATTCTCTGCAATGGTCGCTCATTTAATGTTAGTGAATATTCCCTCATGGAATGCTCTCCGATGGCAAACCCTTGATTTGCTCCCATTAACTTCGCTCCCTTCGGGATTTACCCGATTTCGATTACATTCGCTCTATCTGGTATTGATTGTCCTCTGACTTGCCCTTTGCCTATATTCAATTCCACGTGTCGTGTCATGTTACCATTTAATTTGACCATCCGTTATAAACCAATTTACCGTATACAATATCAAATTTGTTGACAAGCATTATATGTGGTTTATCGCATTGCATATCTTTGGACAGCAAAATAAGAATTTACAGCAAATCTGTTTCATACCTCTTTTATTATTTATTTTCTTTGATTTTATAGTGTAGCTATCTATTATATACATTATTTATGACAATTATAAAAGCAGAACGGCCAAAGTAAAAAAGCTAAATTGCCAAAATGTCCATGTACAGACGAATGATCTTTCTACCTATCCTTCAAACAATGGTCGTAGTTTTTTGTACAATGAACCATGTACTAGAACTAAAAGAAGAATAAGAGTGGATCAAAACCGTAAACATGATTATTATTTTCAGGAACTTGTGATGCTTTGTTAATTTTTATTTCTATTTTAAAAAAGCAAACACATCTTTTTAGTATTATTATGTTATTTTTAAAAAGTTTGTTCTCATTGATACAAAGTACACACGCGGTACCTTAAGACTAATATATTAATAATTTTATAAGAGAATATCTTACAATTCACTCAAATTGCCTCTATTATGGTAATCTACTAGGTATCAGGATCTTTACGTCACAAACTTTTAACCTATAGTACTATTTTAGAAAGTCATTTCATAATTATAAGAGCCACTGTTCAAATAATAGATTTGTATTTAAAATACCCTCTTTTGTAGGCTAAATAGTAAAAAAAAAAAAAATGTTATTTGCAATTTTAGGGGGCTGATATCTTCGACTCTTATATTTCAAAAAATGTCTGAAATGTATCAATTCCTGAAACAATTTTGAAAAGTGATTATTTTAACAAATTAAATTTTACTCCCACTAGTATTTATATAATATAGGACAGGCATTTTTTGTTTAATTTGATGATCACATGATCATATATACAAATAAACTTCATTGCGTTATGAATCCATATGACTTGGCAAGTTTTATATTAGTAAATGACTAAAGTTTCAAGTCATGTGATTTCCCTTATCCTTTCCACCTATTTTAGTGATTTCTAAATACTTGTTATCACCCTTATTCTTCTCCAAGATTATTCTATTAGCCAAAAGTACTCAAATGTTTTGATAATGATATTCTACTATTAGTTGAGTTTGGCACGGTAACAAGGTCCAACAATGAATCTAACATGAAAAATGGAGCAATGGCTCTGTCAATGTCAAGTTCTTGCCACTATTTTGGCTTCGATGATTCACCCCACTCACGTCGCTACTAATCACCAAAGTTCTCTATTTAGCCAAATCTCCTATGGATGTGATTAGCAAATAGATGAAACCATTTGGGTTTTATAACTAATGATGCAAATACTTCGAACCGAAATCTAAACATTTTTCAGACATATTGGAATTTCCGGTTTATACTGCGGTCAGTTGACCAACAAATCTCTATATAATCACAAATTCTGAAACATAAAAATAAGAATCTGTATACTTCCTTTCTTTTCGTTTTGCTTATCGATTGTTCGTGACTCGAGTTGCTTAACGATTTGTCAATCTTACTCTTAAATTTGTTGTTTTGCATTTGTGACTATTCTTCTAAGATAATGTGGGCCAATATGACCAAAAGAGAATGTAAAAATTGCACGGGGCGCTCTATTTGGTCGCCCCCATTTAACCTATACCTATTTTTTTTTTTTTTTTAACTTTTAACTTGTACCCACTATTTAAATAACTTCAGCCCCCTTTCTCCTCCTCCTTCTCCTCCTTCGTTTTCTTCTTCAAGTTACAAAACAAACTGGTATTTATCTCCAGAAGCAACGTTTCTTTAGTTATAAGGTCAATTTTTTTTAATTGAACCGCTCCGGCAGTTGTACTTCTGCTCCAAATTTACAGCAAATTAGTCTTAGGAAAAAGTTTAAGTTATCAGTAGGTGAGCTGTAAAATTTTGGAGTTTTTGTATGTTTATTCGTGTTTGAGTTGAGAAGATGTACACTATTTTTCTTAAAAAATCACTGCTAATTGTGGTACTTCAGCTCTAGAGCTAAAGTTCGCCAGTTACAAAACAAAAACTTCAGTTCTAAAGCTGAAGTTCGCTAGTTACGAAAACAAAAACTTCAGCTCTAGAGCTGAAGTTCGCCAGTTACAAAAACAAAAACTTTAGCTCTAGAGCCAGTTACAAAAACAACCGAAATTCGCCAGTTACAAAACAAAAACCTCTAGAGCTGAAGTTCGCCAGTTACAAAAACAAAAACTTCAGCTCTAGAGGTGAAGTTCGCCAGTTACAAAAACAAAAATTTCAGCTCTAGAGCTGAAGTTCGCCAGTTACAAAACAAAAACCTCTAGAGCTGAAATTCGCCAGTTACAAAAACAAAAACTTCAGCTCTAGAGCTGAAGTTCGCCAGTTACAAAACAAGAACTTTAGCTCTAGAGCTGAAGTTTGCCAGTTACAAAAAAAAAAACTTTAGCAATTACAAACAAAAACTTCAACACACTTAGTTCAGCACACTTGCTACTTCACGCCCGTCTAATAGAATGCTGATGTTTTGCGTGATTGCCTTTGCTACTTCAGCCACGTATGCTGAAGTTATGCGAAAAAGCAGATACGCTTGCAATTTTTTTGCAAAGCGGGCACAAGTTAAAACGCGACACAAAAAGCAGTTATAGATGCAAATGCACCAAAAGAGAATCAGCTTTTGGCAGTCTCTAATCTTACAATAGTTTTTGGACTCCTTTCAATCAAGCAGATATAAGTCAATCATGCAAATGTGGCCAATCCGGCAAGTCCTGGATTGTTCACTTATCTCTAGAGCAATCTAATCATTATCTCATTAGTGGAAATAGTGCAATAAGAATCTTAAACATGTACTCACTCAAATATTATCACCTTTTTTTCATTAACAGAAATGAAAATGTTCATGAGACAGGAACACGCTATTCCTAAGCTCTCTACCTACAGTTTCAACAGCTTGATGTCCATGCTATTGAAAGAACCATACCAGAACTGCTGCATTTTCATGTTATGTTCCTATTTTTCTACAGGAGAGTTGCTGCTAACTCAGCCAGCCTGCAACGTTTGCCACATTAGAAGTCATCTACAGCAACAATAACCAATTTTAGCACTTACCCATTCCGTCATACCCTAGTAGTATATCTGATAAATATCCATACCATGAAAATCCACTCCAAATTATCAGAATCATAACAGTATATTGCAACCGCTATTTATGTACAAGTATATTGTTTATGTACAAGGGAGAGAAGCTATTATCCTGGTTCAAAAGCACATTCCTCTACCCTATTAAACCGAATACTTCACATTTCTTCCAGTATGAACAAGGGACTGCAAGAGCCAACACATCTCACCATTTTAATCATGGACTCCTTTCAAGCGTAGTGGAAAGCTTTCATATAGGTCTCTGAGTGCAGCATACAAGGGTTCTCCAGCTTTGGGTCTCTCCACTGTCCCAAGAAGGATGTCAGCTGTAGTAACGTAAGGATCCCCATAGAATCGGAGATTTGTATCCATCCGTGTCGTGACGATGTTCCCTTCAAGCGAGACTCCCACAAATGCACCTGCAGCACACAAGTCAAACCCGACGAGAATTAAGCGATCACAGTTTTGCAGATAACCCCCTGTGGTGCAGGAGATAGCCACCAAAGAGAGGAAATGGTAGTAAATGTGCCTGGCCACACCGTTTTCTAAAGAGTCGTCAGAATGCTTTGGACTCGTTTTGGATTAATTCATTTGAATCTCGATATATCTATGCATACAAAAAAGTGCAATTTGCATGAATAAGAGGTCTTTTACTGTATGACTTTGGATTTCATCTTTCCCTAAGAGTTCTCACATAGGCACTGGCTTGTGAGGTCGCCCTTATTATTTTGACAAACTTCTGAAACAAAATTCCAGACAGTTAAAAAAAAAATCGTGACTCGTGTCCCTCCTCATATTTTTGAATTTTAACATATGCATGACCAAAGATTATTAATAGCTCCAATGTCTGCACATGATTGTATCAAGTAATTCTTGTATGACCTAAGTCATGGCACAAAGCCAACCTTGAATATTGGAAATTCAAAACAAACTTTCATGATATGTTACAGAAAAACTAGGCCCAAAAGAAGCTACTTACCTTTACTACAACTGTAAGTATAGCATATGCCAGAACCTCTCTCTCCAGCTCGAAGATCTGCCTCCACAGCTCTCCCAACTGGACCAGCTGCAGCACTGCAACCAGCACCAAGAGAAAAATGCATGCGGCTGCAAAATGTCTTCACAGCCTTAGAGTCATGTAGCACAATAATGAAGTCCGTCAACTCGCCTCCAATCTACAACAAAGACAAATATCAATCTTTTGGACAAAGGACGATGAAGACAAATTTAACAAAAAAGTAGCAAAAAACAAATCCAATAAATATGTGCTCTACTATTCAGTTAATAGGAGAATAAGTCATTCATTTTAGTAGAGAGAAATGGATCAAATTCTTCATTCCGGAAAAACCAAAAAGTGCTTGTCAATTAGGGTAAAGAAAAATGCCAATTACATGCCCATGGATCTTTCTGTTCCACCTTGACATAAAATACTTACAATTCAGACCCAACCTTTGGCAGAAAATAGAAACTGAATCTGATTAAAGACAGCATGGTCAACTACTCAATTCATCTGAATTCCTAAAATTTAGTATTCTATATTAGCTAAACTGACTGCATTCCCAAACCAGAAAAGACTGTCACTAGCAAAGACCGTTAATTTAGAGTATACCTGCGCACCCCATCCCAAACCGGCTGATATTATAGCAGATGGTGCAGACCATGAACCATCAGACCTTCGTGCAACCACCAGGCCAGTACCAAGTTTATACGTAAGCAGCACCCCAGCTTTAGCAACCGTTAATATTGCCAGACCTTTGGCTCCTTTGAGAACTGCACCAGGTATGGACCTCTCAGGATTCAACCGAGCAACCTGTGCATTACAAGATTTAGTCAGCATCACAAGGCAGAAGTTGCACGGTAGGGACAGCAAGTCAAGCACAAACGAATCTGAAGATTCTGATCTGGAACTGATTCCATTCTTGTATACACCTTTCAGGAAGAGAGGGACGACGGAATTTCATATGAGCTCTCTCTCTCTCTCTCTCTCTCTCTCTCTCTCTCTGTGTGTGTGAGAGAGAGAGAGAGAGAGAGAATCCAAAGAAAAGAAAAAAGTTGTCAATATTCATCTCAATAGTAACAAAAGGCACAGTGCTTCTGAGGTTAGAGCCAACAGAATTGGGAAAAGAAAAAGTAGTAAATATAACAGACCTGTGCATATGTCCTCAATGTGTTTGATGACTTGTATATCTCATACTCCATGGATAAACCCACTGGAAGGTTCAACCAACCTCTCGTACAAGTCCAGTCCATAACATCATGCTTTGCGGCCTGCACAGCATTGCTGATAGTGTTGATGAGAACGCCTTGCACTGGATCAAGCCTATCATAGCAGGAATCACACACTCTCTGGGGGTTCTTCTCCCGAAACTTCATGGGCAACAGGCACCTCCCTTTTGTACATGTCCTACAAAAAACCCCTCCGCAAAACCGACAATGATGCCTTCCACGAGTAAATGCCGTGAAAGGCGCAGTACACTGCATGCAAACCGTTGTAGAACTGTCTGGGAGCCACTCTGGAGGCTCAGCTTCCAACACATCCTTGTAAGCACTATAGTTAAACGCACTTGGTTCAACTAGTGGGGGAGCACTTGGTATGTAAACTGATGAGTGCAAGAAAGTATCTCCATTCTTATTAGATCCAAGAAATGAAACATCAGAACTAGGCAACTGAGGAACTGCATCTGAATCATGACCTTTATTCTGCCCAGTTACAATAGCAACTAGCCCACTCAAGACATTTTTTAAATTGACCTCAGGAGGACGATTTTGTGGCAGGAAGTTATATGGGTCATTACCAGAATCGTATCCCCTATCCAATACATCATCAGATTCGATCGAAGGGTACCCACAGAGATAATTTTGCCCCGCGCACTGGGAATCTTCTGGGAATCTCCCCCATGAATCCTCATCAACTTCGTCTTCAACAAACTGAAATTTCACATTGTCCTTTTCCAAATTAGCAAGCGAAGAATACGCAACTTTGCCTTCTGATTTCACCATGCTTCCAGCATAATCAGTACAGCATATCAACAATAGATGGGCTGCAAATAGGTAACATGACACCAGTCAAAAGAAAATTAACAAGAAAATTCAGAAGGAACCGTCAAAATTTCAACTCTGTTATCTAACGATATACTCCTAATAGCCATGAACCACTTTAAAGAACCCCATTCGCCCTAAAATGCTTCTCCTGATTTAAATTGAAGGTTCTAAAACATTTCAAATACCGTAAAAAAATTTATGAGACGCACTTTAACTACTCACATTTTTATCCTCTTTTCCATTCTTCTAAAATGTTACAAAAAATATATGGCAGAATAGCCTAGTAAATACTTGTACTTATTCGTGTTTGTCATCCCGGTCCCTGTATTCAACGAAGTTTCAACAAGACACTTATATAGTTGTTCAAAGTCAATATATTAAACCCTTCTGACCATTGACCAAGCATACGTGGCAACTTAATTACTGAGTCGTACAAAATGCGTATATTTCATGCGTACAAGAAGCGTGAATATAAAAAAGAATTGAATAAAAATGATTTAAAAAAAAAGAAGAAGAAAAAAAGAAAAGAAATTAAAAAAACATAAGTTTCTCTCTCGGTTTTACCCCACTCCCTCCCCTGTTTATTTTTCTCTTTATCCCCCTCCCCCTTCCCGTCTTCCCCCAGCCATTTCCCCATTTAATTTCTTTTTCTTTTTCTTTTTTTTCCCTTCTCGTTCTTTCCCCAGCCCCAGCCCCAGCCCCTTCCCCATTTCTTTTTCTTTGTCTTTTCAAATATCTCTGATAGATCTGATTTTCTTTTGCATGATCTAGTTAATTCTTTGTTTGCCATTGTTTTGGCTTTGTGAATGTTTGTTTTTCAATACAAAATCGTGCAATTTGATTGGTAGAAATCTTTATTTTTCATTGTACTTGTATGGTTGTTGATTATGTATGGATGAATTTAAATTTACCCAAATCTGATAGAGTGTAGTATTAGGAATCCTTTTTTAGGAAGCGAGATTTTAATGTAGGGACGAGATTTTGAAGCTAGTGAAATCATAAAGATGGATGGGAAGTGAAGAGTGAAGGAATGAAGATGGACAAAAATAGAGAAACGAGTAACGGAATTGGGTTGCTATTATGGTTGGCTTGATGTATTTTGGGGAAGAAGAAAAATGGTACAAATAAGGTATTTAGGACTTTAGGCAGAGGTGGAAGAAGGTTTCTTATGGAGGAATTAGAAATGGTGTTCACGGTGTTCTCGGGTGGCCAAGATGAGAGTGATGTAGAAGGTGATGATAGAGAAGAAAGAAAAAGTTGGAAAAAAAAATAGAAGCATTTTTCTTTTTTCATGTAAAATTAAAAAAAAAGGTGATGTGGCATAATTTTATGACATGGATTCGAGCATAATGTGATTGAGAGACACGCAACATCAAAGGGGTTTAAAATACTGACTTGGAACAATTATAACTATCTAGCTAAAACTGTGTTGAGTATCGGGACCGGGATGACAAACGCACATAAGTAGAAGTGTCTATCAGGCTATTCTGCCGAAAATATATACCTGGGCATTTTTCTACACATTCTGTTCTGTGGCAGGCCAAAAGTCCACAAGCAAATAGGAGGACAGTAGTCCAATTAACAATCAAATCAACTAAACCTCAATCCCCAAACTAGTTGAAGTTGGCCCCAATTCCGGTACTATAATTGAACTTATTCACCCAAAAGCAAATTACTTTCGGCCAGAAATGAGAATTAAAGCATTATTGAGATAGTAAAAATGAAAAATCAAGTCCAATGACAGAAAAATGCACCCAAGGGTGTGGCCTATTGGTCAATAAAGCGGGAGGATCACCATGAAGTTTCATGTCAAAAAGCAATAGGTGATTTATGCCTATCTACCTAAACATGGGTTGGCAGAGTTACCTACCCGATACCCGGTGGGAGATAGCATGTATCCAATAGAATTGTAATGTGGGCACAAGCGGGTCCGGACACAACCGTCATGGAAAAAAGCCCCATAACCGAAAATATCACAAAAATATGCAACATTACACAATCAAAGCTATAAATAGAAAATCCAACTAACAAACCACAAAAAAAAGAGATTTGCACAAAAGTACAACCCAACACGCTATATTGCACGCCATGTTTTTAAGTTTACAGCCGCATAGCCCGTTATTTTTTTGCAACAGTGTTTACACCAGGTATACAACTTTATCCTCTCATTATAATATTGTATAATGTCGTATAACGTTGTATACAAAATCTGGCTTTCGTCTCCTACGAACTTCAACTCACGAAAAATATCACCAAATAGCTCAAATCTTCACCGAATAGCTTCAAATTTTAACCACAACTTCAAAATGACATCCCACCGAACCCCAATCTTCAATTTGTCAAAAACTTCAACAAATCACAAAACACATTTATGAGTTTTTTAAGATTTTAAAAACCCCAACCATGACATTTTTAATTTTTCACTTTAGTTCACCCTACAATATTTAAATTTGGGATGATAAATATGAATATCACCTCAAACAGTTTCTAACTCAGATCTTCTTAATACAATTATAATGTTAATAGGTGAAAAGAGGTTTCAAATTATCTACAAAATAAGCTAAAGTAGGTACAAAAAAAAGAATATAGGCTATAATTGGTTGGGGAAGTATACTTCGCCGTAATTGTCAGAAAAAAAATACTACGCCATAATTGTTAAAAAATACTAATTTGGAGAAACAGAATCCTGAGTTTTTCAGCTAATTGCTGATAAGTATAAAGCGGGAGCTTACTAGCTAGCTACTAGACAACTTCAAACAATAGGGAGGGAAGTAGTCCTATTAACAATCAAATCAACTAAAGCCTCAAGCCCAAGCTAGTTGTTGCCTGCCCCAACTCCAGTACTATAAATGAACTAATTCACCCAAAAGAGAATTCCTTCCAGCCAGAAATGAGAACTTAAGCATTATTGAGAATATTAAAAAAGAAAATCAATCCGATAACCAAAAATACTACAAAAGTAAGCACTTACAGCAGAAAATACACAGCTAAAGCAATAAATAAAATCCCAAACAGCAAACAGCAAAATAAACAATAATTTGGAGAAACAAAATCTAGGGTTTTCAGCTAATAGCTGATGTGTATAAAGCTAGCTACGACAACACTTCAACCTACAAAATAACAATCGAATATCAACTTTCTCTATATCCAGGGTTATCTTCTATACCAAAAAATTCATACACACAGAGACATAGACAAAACTGAATATTGAAGAGAGAAATTAATCAATTATACTGGAATTCGATCGGAAGAAGTTCGAAAAAAAGGAGTAAAATTACCGGATCTTGTCTGTTGTCGGTGAATTGTACAACGGTTGAGTTTGTGGGAGGAAGGAAGAAGGCGATAAGAGAGGGTTTGTGGTTTCGTGAGTTCTCTGTTAGCTTGGGAAACCGGACAGACGCTTCGGAGATATCACCCTTGTTTGGATTGGGGCTGTTTTAAAAAAATATTTATGTATTTATACTTTCGTGTTGAAACATTTATACCTTTTTTTTTTTGCTCAAACGGAGGATTGCATTTATACTTTCCTGTTGAAATATTTATTACATTACGCCCACACAAAAGGATTTACCTATACTAATATTATTATCTATCTATATATATATATAACACACAACATTTATATGTATGAAAATCCTTAGCGAAATATCGTTGGTCTTTTATGTCCTTTAAAAATATGACTTCGCACTAGACAGTATAGTCATTTACTTAATTTCCTAATTGTTAGGACTTAGGTAATCAATTAAATCATTACTAATTTGACTTTGATTCGTCCACTTCTATTGCATGTAGGTTATTCAATTTATTATATTCATTATTTCCTTATCAAATTTTACTTCGCCAAGAATTTTGTCCAACTCATTATCACGTAAACTAGGTTTATGTTGGAACAATTTCTTCAAACCTCTTGCTTGTAGGATTATGTTGGAAAGAGATTCTTAAAACTTCTTTGCCTATCTAAATATCCATACAATAATTTTGCAACATAAAGATGATAGTCTTAAGATACAAAGGCTAAATATGATTAAGATTGGGATAATTTCACATAACTACACTTGGGGAAAGCACTTTTCAGCCGCCTAACCCACAAATATAGTTTTCATGCGGTAGCCCATAAATAATTTCAGCGCCTAACCCACAACTTCATCAACTACACCCAAAATCACGCCTAAATCAGATTTCACTTTTTTCTTTCATTTTTATCTTTACCCTTTTTCCATTTTCATTCTTATTTATTTTTTACTTCCTTCTGTATAGTAAACAATATCAGCAAGTTGAAGTAAAAAATAAAAATATATTCATCCTTAGAGTCTATAATTTTATTTTTATATTTTTTTTGTAAAATTTAAAGTTTTGCAAGGGAAATTCTTATTTCACTGGAAAAAATAAAAATTTACATTATTAAACACCTTATATACATTGTTATACACACAAATATAATCATGTATAATTATGTATAATCTTGTATAATTGTGTATAATCATGTATAATTCTGTATAACTATGAGAATACCCACAAATATACATGGTTATACATTATTATACAAAGTATATATATGTATATACAACATATACATCATTCTTCCTCCCTTCAGAAGTTATTTAAAGTGAGAAGAAGAAGAAGAAGAAGAAAGGCTATGCGTTGGGATCGTTTCAGACTATGTTGTTAACATATGCTGGTGGTGTTGTCTTTACTGCCCTTGTCACCATCCCCAACTGGCCCGTCTATAATCGCAATCCTCTCAGTTGGTTGGACTCAAGTGAAGCTGAAAAACATCCCAAACCACTGACTGCTAACTCCAGTTCAAAGAAAAGAAAAAGACTACAAAAGATAGATCCGGTGTGGATTGTTCAACAAAATTATTTTGTGGAAGAGGAAGATAATGAACGGAGCAAGGAAATCTGAAGAAGAATTCGACTATTTTGCCAGAGAGAGAGAAAGAGACAGAGAAAGAGCAAGAGATTGAAAATGAAAGAGAAAGTGGGGTGGGGAGAAAGTCTGAAAAAGAGTGTGGGCGGCGAGGGCTAATCAGTGAAAAAAAAATTCAACAGTATAGAACTGGGCCATACCGGGTAAGAAGGGAAAATATGGGCCGTATTTTGTTAGGATAGTGGGCCAAGTGACATAGAGTGTAATTTAGTGATTAAGATTTTCTATGACTCGATGATCAACAAAAAGGAAGTAATAAGAGAAAGAACATGAGAAAATATGCTAATTAATTTTATGGTTATTAATTTGCCTATATCACCATTCACGACCCACTTTTAGAACCAACGGGTATATTAATTAATCACATTATATATTGACCATTTAAAAATAGAATATGATTGAATAAAATAATAATTACTAAATAGTTGAAATTTAGGATGAGATAGCGTTAACTATTCGAATCAACAAGGAAAAAAAATATATTTCTAATGTGAGAATAAATAATTAATCTTTGGATTAATTAATTAGTAAAATAATATATGTCAATACTTTTATTAATCCATCATATATATATAAAATTTTATTAAATTTAAATAATAGGCTACATAAATTGTGCCCTTAAAAAAGTGAATTGACAATTAAGGAATTCGAAAATAAGAAAAATCAGTTATAGTATGATATGAAGAGTTAAATTGCTTAAATTGCTATTCATTTAACTAAATCAATATTCTTCACTTACCTAACACTTCTTTTTTACTTCCCTTTTTTTAACTCAAATAAAAATTCTTAAGAAAATATCTATGATTTTAAAAAAATTATACTCATTGAATTAGGTACACGCGCAACGCGCGTAGCCTAATACTAGTTATTGTAAAAACATGAATATTTCACGCTAAATGTTGAACGACTAAGATATTCTTAAAGTGTTAATCAACTTTTATACCCTTAAATATTTTGTTGAAAAGATAGTTCCATGTTGGATAAAATAGTAATCTAATAATAAATTTGCCTAATATTTAGGAATCCAATACCAACTAATAATAGAATTCTTTTAAATAAATGTAATATTCTAATACTATACCGATTCTACCTGGAAAATTACACAGAACAATAGTAGAATCTCACATTCAAAACCCATAGCAATCCGACATATGAAACACATATATTACCTCTATATAAATAGTTTTATAATATTCACGACATTGCAACATAAGATATCTGTATGCGAATCTTTTTAGAGGTAATTTTTGTCTCTTTTAATATCATATTTTATATATTAGATTTGGCTCACTAACACAATCAAAAGATAGTTCCTGACAACTAAAAAGTTGAAAATTTAAATTTGTGAATGTTGGCTGATAATTCGTCCACATATTTATGGGTTATTAAGTAAGATTTACAATAAAAATCTCTTTACTTTTATTGTTATAGTATAAACCAACAGAAGTCGGGTGGTGTTTAACCCAGATTTATTATATGTTTAAAAAGATTTTTAAAAAAGTAATTACCTATTTGATTGATAAAACAATTTTAACAAAAAAAAATCAACTAAATAAAAGATTTGGTGTAACGACTCGACCGGTCGTTTTACTTTCTAGAACCTTGTCCCCTAAATAAGACTTTCCGTACGTACTTTTATTGTTTTATGATTTGCGGGGATGGTTAGTTCGGGATTTGGAAGGGTTCGGGTTGAAATCAGAACACTTGGTTCCTTAAGGTTGGCTAAAAAGACCAAGTTTGACTTCGGTCAACATTTTGAGTAAACGACCCCGGAATCGGGATTTGATGATTCCAATAGGATCGTATGATGATTTCGGACTTGGGCGTATATTCTGATCGGATTTTGGATGACCCAGGAGCGTTTTGGCGCCTAATAATGTAAGTTGGTTCTTTGAAGGTTTTAGAAGTTCTTTAAATTTGGTTTGGAGCGGGTTTTGGGTGATATCGAGGTCCAAACGGAATTTCGTGACCGCGAATAGTTCCGTAATGTTATTTAAGACTTGCGCAAAACTTGGTGTCATTCCGAGTAGTGTAAGGACGTTTCGGCGCATTGGAAGGAAATTGAAGAACTTGAAGTTCTTAAGTTTGATTTAATTGGTTTTAGGGTGTGATTCCTAGTTTTAATATTGTTTCTGGTGCTCCAAGAGTTCGAGCGAGTCCGTTTTATGATTCCAAACTTGTTGGTATATTCGGGCGGGGCTTCGGGGCTCCGAGTGTCAATCGGACGAGGCTCGGACCAAGTTTGGACTTGGGAAGCAATAGCTTAAGTATCAAGATTCTGTCATAATCGCACATGCACTTGGTCGGCCCGCAGGTGCGGGCTCACAGGTGCGAGCAACAAGTCGCAGAAGCGAGATTTTGAGGGCAGCCTAGCAACCGCAGATGCGGAAGATTAGGCGCACCTGTGTGACCGTAGGTGCGAGGGACTAGGTCGCAGGAGCGGATGGGCTCGCAGAAGCGGCGCCTTTTGTCTGCAGATGCGGAGACCGGCTAGGTTAGGAAAGGCGCACCTGCGATGAATTTGCCGCAGGTGCGGGAGCGCAGATGCGGCCAAGGCACCGCAAGTGCGGAATCGCTGGAGCCAGTGAGATTCATTTAATACGGGATTTAAGCCATTTTTTATACATTTTCTTTCACTTTTGGGCGATTTAAGAGCTTTTAAGGAGGGGATTTCGACCTAGCTTTTGAAGGTAAGTAATTTCTACCTAATGTGAGTTTGATACATAGTTTATGGGTAGATTATAACATGTAAAATTGTGGAATTCATGGGTTAGATGGAAAACCTAGGTTTTTGATAAAAATGAGAGTTTACCACGAAAATAATTATGGAACTTGGTGAAAATTATATATTTATGTTCCTAAGGTTATGGGTAACAACTTTATTCGAAAAGTTTCAAAATCCGGGCATGTGGGCCCGGGGGTAAATTTTAGAAACCTTACATTTAGGGTTGAGTAATCACTTAAATAGTTAGAATATGAACTTTAAAACATATATTAATTAGTGTTTACACTATTTAATTAATTTTGGATGGTTTCGGCACCGATTTGAGGGTTTAAGCATAATCTTGGATCGGAAAGTAGGCCTTGAGACGAGGTAAGTCTCTTTTCTAACCTTGTAAGAGGGAATTTACCCCATAGGTGAACTTAATTAACATGTGTTGTTATTTGTGGGGGCTACATACGCACGAGGTGACGAGGGTCCGTACGTAGCTACTATTCCTGTTTATGTCCTGGTAGTTTTAGTCTTACACCATGCTTTGTGGACACCGTTATCTGATAATATTTGTTAATTGTATCGAATGAAACTAAGTTGAGGATTTTAAGATTTCAAAAGCTTCAAGTAGAATTTGTTTATTTTGAAAAGAATCGTGAAAGAATACGATTTATTGATAAATTTATATTTAACCGCGTCGCAAGTATATTCCGCGAGCGGGGTGAATCTTTCCACTACTCTCATGGGAGCAGGTCATTCGCCCCGGCAGGTTAATAGATGCATCTATGGTTCGTGCCGTTCG